CAATTCATTTGGACATGGAAAAGGGAAATGCGAAATTATATGAAAAGCGTGAAATAGTATTAGTTTCTGTTTGACAAAAATTAAAATTCATATTTTAATCTAAGTTAAGATCAACAATTAATTTTAACCACATATTTTATGAGATTCACATCCACAACTTTTTAACCACACATTTCTTCAATTTTTATCAAAATCTGCTAAAAAATTACTTCAATCCCCCACCAAACAAGAGCTTAGTATGTTGCATAAAAAAAACTCAATGACGTGGTTGATTGATTAATTATATAACCCTCCTTTAAAAAAATTCAAAGCGTCATCTAAAATGTGATCTAGCCCTTGTTTGAGCCTCATTTCATCAAAAAATTATTTTTTCAAAACTCATTTTCAACCACAAAATTTTCAATAAAATAATATTACACGTAAATCGAAAAAAAAATTCTTCATTTTTAACCACGCATTCTCAAAAAAAATTACTATTCAAAAATACATTTTTATCTAAAAATTAATGGGGCTCAAACAGGGCCTAATCAACGATACTATAGATTAAGAAGTTTTATAAGTCGATCATCTTGCAATTATTTATTTGGTCGAATCATTTGTAATATGAAATCCCACTAGTAAAATGAGTTCAATATTTTTGAATCAACCAAGGAAAAAACAAGGTACAATAATGCCACAAGCAAGGCAATAAAATCATTAATTCAATTAATAAAATGACACTTTTTTCTCACCTTCAGAAACCTAATTTTGATTATATGTTATGTTATTGACCTCAGTACCAACTGCAGGCAAAGAAACTAGTCATGGTCCGTTACTGATGCGGTCCAACACGTAAAAGAGGCTTGTAAGGCTTTTACTTAATTTTATAGTTAAATACCATACTTTTTGGGGTTTTTTGTTTAATTTTTTAAAAGAATAGGTCCCAAGACTGCAATTTAATTACGTTTAGAATTAGGTTTTATAAGCAACTACCGAACAACAGTGTAGGTTTGGTTTTTAATTTAAAAAAAGAATATTGGATTTTTCTCAATTTCTCCAAGTTCTCAGTATTTGATAGATCAAATTGAAGAGATTGAATTCTAGGTATTCATGTTTGAATTAACATAAACTATAAGAAAAATATGTTAGTATTTGTTTGAAATAAACGAGGTTTTAATTGTGTGTTTCTTCACCGTTTCACTCTTTCGCCTATATGAGTATTAGCTAATTTAAAACATGATAATTCTTTTGTGTTAGATAAGCTCTAATCTTCACGTAAGAATATGCACAAAAAATATTGAAGAGATAGAAGCTCTTTTGTGCATCCAAACACTCATTATTTAGGGGAAAATTACAATGGATGTCACTTACCTATTATTTTTACATTTATGTACTTACGGTTTGTATAA